TTTGAAGGGGCGTCTCTGCCGCCTTGCTGATAAAAGTGGGCCTGGGGCCGCCTCCTGTGAGTGGGCGCGCTTCCCGGCCCGGCGCCCCCAGTGAGGCCGGCCCCTCCCCAGAGCACCGTGAGCAACCAGCCCCCAGCCCACAGAGCCGAAGGGCCTGTGCAGGACGGAGCGGCGGCTCTGATCACCGTGCCAGGATTTTAAGTATTCTCCGTGTGCCAATCAGGCATCTCCCGGCCGCATGCAGACACGTGAGACGCAGAGCAGCTCGGCCGGGGCGCTCGTGCCAAGCTTGTTTTCAGTACCTGAAGGCGTTTTGTCTTTAGACATCCTTTTTTTTGGCAAAGAAATGCGAAATTAATTGCAAGGACAGCGCGCCTCCTGGAGCCATCAGAGGCCCCCCAGAAGAGCGTTCTCCCGCGGTGTCGCCTTCACTTCCCACCTTCCGGGGGCTGTCAGCAGCCACCGGGCCAGCCTGGCAGCTGGCCGTCCAGCCCAGCCGGCTGTCAGCGCCCTTCTATTTTTAGCCGTGGTTTGGTCCTGGAACTTGACAAGATTTTTCAAACTAATAACTGGATTGTCAAAGGAATCAGCTGTCACAGAACCGTCTGGGAGGGAAGGGGCGGGAAGGAGGAGTGGCAGCCCCAGGCACCCGGCGCTGCTCAGGCAGCGGGGCCAGGTGCAGCCGCCCAGCCCCCCGGCGGGCGTCAGCACCCGCTCCCCACCCCAGCCGGCAGGGTGTCGCCCTTGAGATATGCATGGGTCTGTCATCCTGGACGCTGGGGTTGGAGCTGGGCTGGGACGCGGGATGGGACATGGCGAGTGGGGCCATGGCTGTGGGGACAGGGCCATCTGTGGTGCGGGCGCTGAACCACCCAGGCCTCCCCTGCCTCGGGCGCCTCACCTGAAAGGCTGAGGACTTGGGAGAAACGCCCGAGGCCTGTCCTGCAGGAGTCCCAAGCCTGGGTGTCCCCCCAGGGTCCCCAGGGGGCACCTGGGACCGTCCTTCTGCTAGTGGCCGGGCCTCCCCAGCGGCAGGTTCTCCAGCCAAGCTGCCAACGGACCATCAGAACGCGGTGGAAAAGTGGAACAAAGCAGCTAGGCCTGCTCCCGCCTGTGCCCATGGAGGAACCGATGTCTCTCCTTCCCAGGGAAGGGGGGGACATGGTCATCGGCACGTGAGCCCCTAGCCCTGTCCTGATTCCTTTGCCATCTCCGCGCGTGGCCAGGATGTGAACCGCCTCTGGGCCCCACCGCATGGGCAGAATGGCATTGACTTGGGAGCCTTGAGGTGCATCCTCTGCCCGAGGGTCCACAGTGGGCGGCTGGTGTGGCTGTCACAGCCGCTGCCTGTGAACAGAAGGACAGCACTGAACCACCCAGTGCGGTGATGTCCACCGGAGGGAAGGTGCTGTCCATTAGAGGGAAGGTGCCGTCCACTGGGGGGAAGGTGCCGTCCATCGAGGGGAAGGTGCCGTCCATCAGAGGGAAGGTGCCGTCCATCTGGGGGAAGGTGCTGTCCACCGGGGGGAAGGTGCTGTCCATTAGAGGGAAGGTGCTCTTCACCGGGGGAAAGGTGCAGAAGGTGCTGTCCACCGGGGGGAAGGTGCTGTCCATTAGAGGGAAGGTGCTCTTCACCGGGGGAAAGGTGCAGAAGGTGCTGTCCACCGGGGGGAAGGTGCTGTCCATTAGAGGGAAGGTGCTCTTCACCGGGGGAAAGGTGCAGAAGGTGCTGTCCACCGGGGGGAAGGTGCTGTCCATTAGAGGGAAGGTGCTGTCCACTGGAGGGAAGATGCTGTTCATCGGAGGGAAGGTGCTGTCCACCAGAGGGAAGGTGCTGTCCACCAGGGGAAAGGTTCTATCCATTAGAGGGAAGGTGCTGTCCACCTGAGGGAAGGCCTGCTTCGGGGGAGAGCTTCTGGGAACCTCACAGAAAGAGGAGCACAGGGGAGATGAATGTGAATATTACATTTTATCTAACCCAGTACACGTACAATGTTATCTTTCAAGCTGTGATCAAGATAGAAGTTAAGAAACATTTCCCAGACTTTCGTTCAGACCACGCGTTTGAGATCCGGGGTGTGTTCTACATGGACACACGTGTCCACCGAGACCCCCGCAGTGGGCGGGCAGAAGAGCTGCAGCCAGTCACACGCCCGGCCAGGCCCCTGCGCCAGGCTGAGCACCGTCTGCCTGTTAGTAGTTTGTCCGTTTGTGGCCTGATTCCCACCTCCACGCACACCCCAGCCCCAGAGGGCAGAGCCTGAGAGGTGTGAACCCAGACCGGGCCGTGTGACGAGCACATGCCCTGATATGGCCCGGGCGTGGGTGGTCCTGGGACGTGGCCGGCAGAGTGAGGGCCCTTTCTGCTCCGGGAACAGACCTGCGCTTCCTTCATCACATGCGATGCCGATTGTATCAGACGTGAGAATTTGACAGTCCAGTCCAGACACATTCAAAGGCGGTGTCCTCCGTGGCGCCTTGGTGTCCCCTCGGAATGATCTGACGTGGCCGGCTGGAAGGTCAGCGGCCTTTACAAGAGTGTGTGCCCGAGCGATTGCCCAGGGGTCAGCACCGTGTGCTGTGTGCTTCGTGGTGGGGCACGGGGTCACCTGGGCCTGCTGGTGTCCCGGAGGAGACAGATCACCCAGTGACATGGGTGAGGACACTGGGTTTGTGCCTCCAGAGTTCCCTGGGTCGCAGTGGCCAGGGGCAGGCTTGGCCCATCTCCACGTCTGACTGCGACCTTGCTGCCTGACATGTGGGAGCCTCTGCACGGGACCACACAGACAGAACCCGGGGCCTGAGAGGGGGCCCCTGCCCACCCTCGCAGATGCCAGGATGTACCGTTTTGTCCCTCCTGGGAGGGTGCGCACGTGGAGATGACCGTACTTTGCAGATGGTAACGTAATGCCTCTCTCCGGACAAATGAAACCGTTTTGGCAAGAAGTCCCTGAAGCTGTAAACATTATTTGCTCTTTAACATTGGAAGGCTCACTTCTTGGATCCCACCCAGAGGCAAAGGCAGGAAGGATCGCCTGGAAGAGACATCCAGCAACAACCCAGCTCAGGGCCCGCCCTGCAGCCTGCCTCCCTGGTCCCGGCGGGGCCTCCAGAGGGGACCCCCTGATGGAAGAGGCAGCCAGCCATGGTCCACATGCTTGTGAGATGACATCTAGCGTGTCCAGAAGACAGTCAAACACAGAGAACGGGGCCGACCCGAGATTCGGGCCCCCGTCCTTGGTGCCAGGCACGGCGGGTCCGTCCTCAGGGTGACTGGCACTTTGCTTGGGGCTGGGGCCCCCAGGCTATGCAGCGGGGCGACACCATCACTCCAGCCCTCCCGACGGCCGCACACGGCGCGTGCCAGCGTGAAGAACAGTGACACGTGGCAGGTGCGCTGAGCCGGGGCTTTGTGGCCAGGGTGGCATCTCGTGGGCACAGTCGGTGGAGAACCATGGGGCCCTGACCCGACCTTGGTTCCTTCCGACCTCAGAGCTGTGCGCACACTGTCCTCAGCTTTCATCCTGTGAACGTGGTCACCATTTACGGAGGAGTTAAGATGAAAAACAAATTGCCCTTGCCGGCCGCTGCCCCGGGCCCTCCCTGCCGCCGTCTCGTCCTGGGGGGAGCGGGCGCCCCGCATTGTGAGCCAGCGACAGCGTTGTGACCGTTGGCCTTTGCCCGAACGCCTTGGCTAACCCCGGGCCGCTCCGGGGCTCCCCGGCCAGAGACACCGCCGCCCAGCACGTAAATAAGTCCTTTTTAAAAGAGAAATCTGTATTTAGGGAGGTGTTTGGCTGTGTTCTCTTCCTCCCGTAAAGGTCACCCGGATAGATTTTTCCTTCTTTAAGCTTCGCAGGCTGCGGAGCGCCGGGCATTTCTATTCTCTGTCCATCCAGTGAACCTGGGGGACTAAATTAGATTCTGAAATTGAGTGTGCAGTGGAGTTGCTGAGTTACCGTAATGGGAGGGTATTGCTTCTCACCTTGCAAGTAGCGAGGTCATGATAATATGAAGCGAAGTGGATTAAAAATAAAACCAAAGGTATTTATTTACGACCTGCTCAGAATTGGATTGGCATCCGTGTAAGTTGCATCTAATGGTGAAAGACAGCAGATTGATGTTGATGTGTCCCCGGAGACACTCTGCCAGGGAAATTTGCTCCATGAATTCAATTTAAAGGCCCCCAGAAAGGGTCCAAAATGCAGGAGGAAATGGGGATGAGCAGCTCCAGGGAAGCCACATTAGCGGCACGTCCTGGCACGTGAGGCTTGCGCTGCGGGAGGGGGGAGACGGCCCTGTGACGGGGGGTCAGGGGACAGCAGGCCTGGCACAGGCCCCCGTGTCGCCCAGCGCCAAGCACCGACGGCCTGTCGGGAGCTGAGACCCTCTCCTTGGTGGGGAACCCGCGGCCCCGAGCTGGTCAGCAGCCTGCCCGGCCCACCAGCGGGGTACAGCACAGCCAGAACCTGGGCCCGGGCCTGGCCTCTGGGTGCCAGCCCTGAGTGCCCATGGGGTGGGCTCCACATCCCCCAGCAGTCCCTGGACCCCAGTGCGCCGGGGCAGCTGCTGTGTGAGGCCCGGGGCTGGGCGGTGCCGCCCTCCTCCTCCCAGCGGGTCAGGGGGGCTGCCTGGGGCGTCTCCTCCCGGCTGCAGGGCTGAGGGCCTGTCGGGGTCTACTTGGGGGACAGGGTATGTGGGGGCTGGGCAGCTGCAGGGCATCCGCCCCCCCAGCTCCCCCCACTGCAGGCTGGAATGTTCTCCCAGGGCCCCGCCCCCGACCCTGCTGGTCGCCACCTCTGACCCCCTGTCTCTGCCCCCCGGGAGCCGGTCACCCCCTGGGCCCTCTCCCCCGACACTGCTGATCACTCACTTGGGCCCCTGCCCCCAGCCTGCTGGTCGCCTCCTTGGGACCTCCTCCCCCGTCCTGCTGGTCGCCCTTGGGGCCCCTTCCCCCCAGCCCGCTCCCCGCGCCCTCTGACCGCTGTCTGTCCCCGCAGGAGCTGCTGCTCTTCCTTCAGAACCTGCCCACCACCCACTGGGGTGACGAGGACGTCAGCCTGCTGCTGGCCGAGGCCTACCGCCTCAAGTTCGCCTTCGCGGACGCCCCCAATCACTACAAGAAGTGAGGCCGGCCCACCGCAGCGGGCCCCCCACGCCGGGCAGTGCCGCTGCCGCCGGCTGCAGGCCCCAGCCGGGGAGGAGGAGAGGAGGCCTCGCTGGAGTGGCCCGCCGGGACGAGGTGCCGGCCGCGGGCAGGCCTGGTGAGGGCGGGCAGCCTCCGCCTCCCGAGATACCAAAGAGCCGGGGAGCGGCCGGCCGTGGGGCCCCCGGCCCCGGCGTGCCCTTGCCAAATGCCCACCTCGTGCGCCTCCGCCCCAGGCAGTCTGGGAGCCAGCCCCCCTCAGAGGCCTGCTGTCCGGGCGCTGGGGGCAGAGGGAGGTGGCAGCCGCCTCCTGCCTGCTTGGAAACTTACACATTCTATTCTGTTGAGTGAAGAGAATAAAGTACAGACAAAGATGTTCAGTGAAGCATTGCGCTAAGCCATGACACCTCTGTGCCCTCCCAGGCCTCCCCTGCGGCCAGGTTCCTGTAACTTGGTCCCTTTACTGGGCTATGTTCCTGCTTTCTTGGCGTAAACTTGCCTGGAAGGCCGACGGCCAGCCCGGGGCAACTCTGGCTGCAGCCGTCCGGAGCAGAGAGAGGGCTCCAAGTTGCCTTACTTTGTACCCACAGCCTCTGGAAAGAGGGAACCGGCCCAGGCGATCTGCCGTGGAGCCCACATAGGTGGGAGCCACTCCGCGGGGCCAGCGTCGGTGTGGGCTGGCGCTCAGGCTCCCCTGGGCCCCTGGGCAGGTGAGTGCAGCCGCTCCTGCCCCGCAATTGGGGTCTAAAGGACCCCGGCCCTCCTGCACCCCGCGGGGCTGGAGTGGCCCAAGCCCCTCCCCGTGCTGGGTGTCCAGGCACGAGCGGACTTGATCCGCTGGTCGTGGGGCGGCCAGCCCAGCTGCACAGTCCTACCCCGCCCGCCTGTCTTGCTCCCCACAGCTCCTCTGCCTGAGCTGGGGAGGACACGGCAGGGGCTTGTGGCCGCTGGTGCCTGGACACGCCCGTGGGCCCCCGGGCCGCAGCTTCAGCTCCTACCCCACAGGACAGGCCCCCGACCTCAGTGGCCACTTGTGCCCTCAGACTCCCGTCCGCTTGCAGCATCTCTTTCCCATCACGTGCCAGCCCTCAGGGCGGGGGCAGGGGGTCAGCCAGCCAGCCCGTCTTTGCACAGCAGCTGAGGATCAGGACACACAGATACACGTGTGTGATGGTGCGAGCTCCTTATTTTATGAAAAGGGTTCCTGGGTCATTACACATGCGTGGAAGTCAGCACAAAATATTTTGCAAATGTCAGAAGCCCCCAGGTCAGTTGGGAAACCTGCTAACCTTAGGCAAGACAGCGCCCCCACCCACCCCGGCATCAGGAGCTCCCCCCCCACCCCCAGCTCCCACAGCCCTGGCCCGCCGCTGCCCTCCTGCCTGCGCCCAGTTCTGGGGAGAGGCCCCCTGCTTGGCACGGGAAGCCCATCCTGCTTAGACCACGGGCACTGCCCACTGCGCTCAGGTTGTCCTTGAGGCCAAAACGCTGGGAACACGAAAGCCGTGCCCCTGGCGGCAGCTTGTTTTTCAAATAGGAAGAATCTACGAAGTTTAGTGAGGCTCTGTGCTTATTTTCACGTGTATATACACCTGAAGCTGAACGTGAGGGGTGTTGGTGGGGATCCTTGGAGTCTGAGCCAACCAGTCTGAAGTGATTAAAGACTGTTCTTTCTGGAATACAAGGTGTGAAACACGGAATAAAGGTGCAATGAAACCCCAGCCTCGCCTGTGATTCCCCGCCTGTGATTCTCCTGAGGGGGCGGGGTGTCCCTGCCAGGCGCCAGCTCCTCGGCTGTCTGCTCTGAGGCCGGGCGGGAGTCCAGCCCTGCCGCAGCTGCTGGGCCTTCCATGCAGGCCTGGAGTCCCGGGCCTTCCATGCGGGCTTGGGGTCCCAGGCCTTCCGTGTGGGCCTGGAGTCCTGGTCCCAGGGCCTTCTGTTCTGGCCATGGGACCCCGAGCCTTCTCTTCCGGCCGGCTGCAGTGTGCCCGGCCTGGCGTTGGTTGCAGCACGCACATTCTTGCTGATGCCTGCCAGGGCCTCATGGGGACCTGAAGGTACAGACTGACAGGACTCAGACTCGAGCTGGACCCCAAGCCCAGGCTGCTCCGTTTGGGTGTCGGGGTTCAGCCAACCCTCGGCTCAGCCGCTGTCAGTCTGGGGGCAGAAGGGACCCCCCCCCCATCTGGCCGTGGTCCTTCCAGCATCTGCTCGGGGCAGACACTGGGTCCCGGGACACTGGGTCCCGGGCCCACCGCTCCTGCTCCTGGGACCCAGGACATGCCCACGCGTCCCACCCCCCTGCCCCGGGCACTCCGGCCGCCTGTCCTCCTGTGTCGGTGAAACAAGGCCCCATGAGCCCCGGCTTCTCAGGGCTGCTCTTGTACCCCGTCCCCCGGGCCCCCCGTGTCTGCCTTCTCCCCCCTCACCGGGGAGCCTGCAGGGCAGCACTTCCCTGTCTGTCGTCATCTCGGGGTAAGGGTCCATCCCCAGGGGCGAGCTGGAGGCCCCGGGGGGGTGCTGTGGATCTCTCCACCCTGCGTGAGCCTGGCGGAGCCGGGCGGACCCCCGCAGACTGAAGTGCAGGCTCAGGGCTGCGCGAGGAGACTCACTGTCCCCCACCACGGTCAGGAGGCGGGAGGCGTCAGGCTCAGGTCCCGGCCCAGCACTGGTGACAACTGTCATTTGTGTCATCAGTGGCGTTTGTGGCCTAGCGGTTAGCTCCTCAGGCCCACTTGGGGGTCCCCGAGCCCCCATGGGCGGCTCAAACCCCAGCTGTCTGGGACAGAGCCCTGACTTGGGCTGCAGCTGACCCACCATGTCTCACCCTTTCCGGCACCCTGCTCGTGGGCCCCCGAGCCGAGAGGGAAGGGCCAGAAGGGGTCAGTTGCCAGGGAGGGCGGGTCCCAGGCGAGGGGGCAATTTGCGCTTTTGAAGGGACTCGAGGGTGAAAAGGGCTTTGTGATGGTGTGGCCTGTGCATCTGAAATAGAATCCCCTTGTGTTTGAGTGAACTGTTTCCACTGGCCACGCGGGGGCGTCTCCGCGGGAAGCTGAGCCCTGGCTAAGCCGCTCCAAGCCTGGACCTCCGGGCCCGTCCACCCTGAGTTGGAGGTGACTGCCGGTCCACAGCCCAGCGGGTCAGCTCTCAGGACTGGTGCTGGGTGACGCTTGCTCAAAGCGCCAGGCAGCCGGGCCCTCCCTGAGCCGCCTGCCGGGTCCGGCCCCGGCCAGCTGGCGCTCTCCCCTCCTGTCCCCTCCCCAGTGCTCCCCCGGACCCAGGGGCTCTGCCCCTCTCAGCTGCAGGGCCTTGTCTCACTCGTCCTGGCGCCTCACCCCAGCCCCGTCCCTGGCACGGAGACGATCTCCACAGGGACACCAAGGGAGCGCTCGCAGCCACTCTGTGCCCGTGTGGCCGTGCTCAAAGCATCTGACCCCCGAACCTGTTTCATTGACAAACTGAGGCTAAGTACTCATTTAGTAAAAAAAACAAACCTGTATACCAAAGTAAATTCCAGATGAATGGATCTAAATCTAAAAAAAAAAAAAAAAAAAAAACCCAAATACTCAATGATATTACTTATATGTANAAAAACCCAAATACTCAAAATAGAAATAAACAGGTATTTTTATAACCCAGAATGGTGGAAGGCTCTCTGGTCAAAACAATAAAGACTGGTGATAAACATCTGTAGTATGCGGCACGAAAACACGCTGCAAGGACAATAGAGCTCAAAAACCTCGGAACACAGAGAGATGGTAACAAGCCCGGCAAACGTACCTGCGACCTAGGTGAGACGGGCTGAAACTCCATCACAGGTACCGCGTGCTTGGAAATAACTGGAAATGACAACTCTCGAAAATAAAAACGGGCACAGCACAGAAGGTAGGCAGTTCCCAAACGGAAGAGGAGCAAGTGCCGACAAGATGCTACATCGTTCATTCTAGTTTAGAGACGTGAAGACGCAGTCACGAACCATCTGACGGCTGAGCGACCCCGGCTGAGGGTGTGGTAAGTTGTTAATGGCAACAGAAACCAGCCACCCACTCTGTAGTCGTCCTGTTTTGTCCTGGAAGTTTGGTGATTTTCATTGTTTTTACTTTGAAACTATGATGTGGGCTATTGTGTGTGTGTGTGTGTGTGCGCGCGCTCAGTCGTGTCCGGCTCTCCGCAGCCCCGTGGGCCTGCCAGGCTCCTCTGTCCATGGGATTCTCCAGCCAGAACACTGGGGCGGGTTGCCGGTTCCTCCTCCAGGGGATCTTCCCGACCCACAGATCGAACTGGCATGCCTGCATCTCCTGCCCTGGCGGGCGGGTTCTTTACCGCTAGCGCCACCTGGGAATACACACATGTATGCTATTGGGTTGGCCCAGAAGTTCGTTCGGGTTTCCTGCATGTTACGGAAAAACCCCAATGAACTTTTTGACCAACACAGCCCTGACAGACCACCAGCAGACCACACAACACACATCTGGGGCCAGTGAGTTGTCACAACGCTGAAGCCAGGAGCCGCCACCTCCATCAAGAAGCAGCGCGTGGCCGGCACCCCGGGCCTCCGAGGTGCCCCCTCCCCTTGCTGGATGCCACCCTGACATCCGACCCCATAGGGTAGTTTTCTTGCCAGTAAACTCTTCTCCAGAGGGGCCAAGGGGAGAGACTTCTGCAAACACCTTCCCCGTCTGGGAGCGGTCCCTGCGGTTGTGTGGCTGTGGTTCGTTCCACCCTGTCTGTCCTTTCCGTTAGTGCGAGGATGCCGATTTATCCATTCCACTGCGGGTGGGCACTTGTGCTGTTTCCCTTTCGGGGCCGTTGTAAATATCACCGCCCTGAACATCTGCGTGCACGTCCGTGGGCGAACACCTGCCCGCTTCTGCTGGGTGTCTGTCCACCCAGAGGAGGAGTTCCACAGCCATGCGGGGTGCATATGTCCCACTTCAGCAGATGATGGCAGACTGTTGGCCAAATGTATCCCAGTTTCCACCG